GAGGGATGGGGATGAGCTCAGCACACAGACGAGGCTGCCTGGCCCCTTCCAATGATGCCTCTGTAATAGTTTCCACTGAATGTCCCCTGTGAAAGAAGAAAAAAAAAACCTCTAAAAAAATTTTTTTTTTTTTTTTTTTTTAAATAGCGATTGCTCGTCAAGGGACGTGTCTACGAGGATGTGAGGGAGACAGTGCAGTCAGAGGTTGCACAAGTCACTGCCCCAAACCAGGCTTGACTTTCTGGGCTGGTGCTCACCTCTTCCAGCTGAGTGGCTGCCTGTGTTTCCGCGGGGGAGGCAGGAGGGATCGCCTGGAGAACCCAGGCATCGCTCCCAGCATTTGCCTAATAGGCACCTCGGAAATGCATCCTGGGAGCCGTGACTCTTTCTGAGCAGCAGCTGTTTCTCTCCGGTAAGTATGTAAATCCCAGCACATTCCCAAGTGCAGGAGGTTTCTGGCAGGCTCCAGGGGCTGTACGCTGCCGAGGAGGCTGGGAGACCCCGGGGTAAACTCCAGTGCATCACGATATGAGGAGCATTGGGTGAAATAACTATACTTAGGCACTTGTATTACAGGCTAATGCTTTTTTTTTTTTTTTTAAAAACAATGTGTATCATGCCATGAATAATATTAAAATGTTCTATTAGTCAGTAGAAGTGCAGCTTAATCTGAAGATTATGCGGAAACTTAAGTACAAAAAATACATGTAATGCTCTGGCAGACCCTGCTGGGGAGAGCAGCCTTTATTCCGTGCAGGGAGACAGACCCTGGCACAGCTTTTGCCCCAGTCCCTGCTGCCTGCCACTGCCCTGGGGACACGAGTGGCGTCTGGGAGCGAGCAGATGCTGTGTGAAGGGCACTCACACTGTGTCCCACCTCGTTTGCTTGACTCCCAGTGTGGTGGCACCTCGCTGCCGGGGGTCTGCTCCATAACTGTCCCCTGCACGCTGCCGGCAGGGAGCTGTGCCTGCTGCCTCGGGGATGCTCCCAGCCCCTCCATGCATCACCCTGGCTGGCGGTGAGTCCGGGGGCAACTCCTTCGTGAGGAGGAAAATGAAATTCCTGATGAAATGATGGCTGAAGATCTGTCTGTGAGCCATTCCTCGGCTCAGCGATGGCCGGGGGAGCTGCTCGCTGGCTGTCGCACCGGCCAGCCTTATCCATATTTCAGCGCTTGGGGAGGGCAGGTTATTTCCCGGCTACTTGGCGTGGTTGCAAAATTTAGTGGAAAAGCTAAAACAAACAGACTGTGGAGTGTCACATTTTGTTAGCGCTGTGCGGGGAAGGGTTGTCAAACCCGCAAACAAGACACGGGAGAAGTCTGGAACCGACACAAACCCTGATGGCTGTCTCCACTGAAAGGGCTCTGCTGCGAGCGGGCGTCGAAGCAGGGGCTGGGACACCTCCTCTCGCTGCCAAACTTAGTGTTAAAGTCTGGAGCACTAACCAAAGCTGATGGAAGTGTATTTGTTTCAATTGCCGGGATAAATTAACTTTTAAAACCACCGTGAAAAAAGTCTTAAAAGTCTGTGCTGCGAATCAGGGGCATGAATATTCAGGCACATGCACTCATTGAATTAGTTTGTTGCAAACATATTTGGAGGCAGCTGTTCATTTAATAATCAGGGATAATCACAGAAATAGACGACCGGTTACTCCATCTAAATTGCATGGTTAAAATTATAATTTTATAACTCTATCTCAGCAATTAGATTTAATAGCTATGAAAATCCGGCAAAACCCAGTTGAGGGAAAGCTGTTATTCTTTTAATGCAGAAAAGCCAAGGTCAGATTGGGGCTGCCCCTACGTGTAACAGCAGCAGCATCTCCAGTGTCTGAGCTGTTTCTGACACCGCTGGGGGTGCAGAGGTGAGACTTCTGGGCCAAACAGTCCAATGCTAAAACCGGCCCAGGCAGGGGTTAATTTTCTTGGTGTTTCCTGTCTTCATTACAATATTTGTCCCAAAAACAGATTAATTCCTCTCATTCTTTCTGCCTTTCCAGCCTTTTGTCACGGGAATGCATTTCACAGGACTGTAATGTTTGATACTTGCTCTGAGTTATAGCTGTGCCGTACGCTGTAAAAGTTTGACTCTCTCAGTATTGTACATTTTGATTCTACCCCTGCAGGCTATAAACAACCCAAATTACCTCTTTCTTTAGCTTCCAAGAGGACTAATCCCCTGTCTAGTGCTTTATCAGTCAGTTGAGAAAGAGTGAGACCAACCTGCCAATCCAAACAGAATATATTGAAAAAATCATATTACCACAATGCAGAACCTTGCCGTAATTCACCGAACAGCTCAGCCAGTAAAAGCCTGATGCCACGGCCGCCTCCGTTACTGTAATGAGACCAGCAGCAGATGCACCATCCATCCACCCATCCATCCTTCATGCACCGTCAGTCTCTCCTAAAGCACTGCACGGAGCAGGGAGGGGCTGTGGATGCCATGGGCAGTTGCAGTCTCCTGGCATGGACCATTTTTAACATCATAAACCCCATTTTGATGATGGGTGCAGTGATGCTGGTGGTTCCTCTGCCTCTGGCAGGGTCAAGCCCACTGTGTGCTGCTGGAGTGTGGGCTGGAGCAGACAGTGGGGCCGTCTGTGGGGTGAGGAGCTCACCAAGCTGTTTTGTGCTTGTCACTCCATCCTGGTCATGTCTTGTTGGGCAGGTCTGGGGGCTTCTCTGCAACTCCTCCTTGATGGCTTCTAGCACTCCTCCAGCTTGCAGGTGGCCTGTTTCTGAGCAGCATCACATGATGCCCCCTGCTCAGCAGCACCCTCACTTTTACTCAGATTGATTTTACTGTCCCTGCCCAGATGAGTTTATCCCCCTCAGCCCCTCACTGAGCAGGGGAGCCTGACCAGAGCAGTGCTGTGGTCAGCCTGCTTCTCCCTAAATCACCACCCCAGCATCCCCGACAGCCCAGCTGGGATGCAGCGCTGCTGGGGATGGGCAGGATGTGGCCTCTGCCCAGGGAAAGGTCTCTCCTTGGAAAGGGAAGGCGGAATTCATCAGAGCCACTGTGGGAAGAGCCACACTGCCCATAACGGTGCCCTCCAGCCTGCGGCAAAGCAGCTCCTCGGCTCAGCTGAAACTCCTCTCCTCTCAAGCACCGAGGCCAGTGTGGGTTGCTCCAAGGTTTAACGCTTTATTAGAAAATGAGAGGTTAGAGCATGTTGCAGAGGAGAAGGAAATTTATTGTTGCCCTGGCCCTGCAGCAAAGCAAAACTCAAATAACCCAGGTGCGGGGAGAACTATAAATCCCCCACTGGCAATCACACTGCTAAAAGGATGGTGACAGCCACAGCAAAGTTTGGCCAGTTAATATTTCTCATATCTGAGTGAGAAAAATAGCAATATTTTAAATGATATCTCTGCTGAATTATGCAAGGAGAAAAAAAAAAAGAAAGCTGTAATCCCTTCTAGATGCTCAGCCTCAGGAGGTGCAGGTTTGCAGAGGGCTCCGGGAGGTCCTCCGGGGTCTCCTCCACATCACCCTCCTCTGCTGCAGGACCTTTTTGCTGCCTTCAGGCAGTCCTGGGGAGGTGAAGCCTTTCTTCCCAGCTGACCTTAGAAAGATTTCCTGCCTTGTGCTGGGTGAAGCTGACACAGCCTGGCCTGATTGCTTTGTGAACGGGAGAGCAAGATGAGGAGAGAAACGGGGAAGGAGTGAGCACTCCAGCAGATGCCAGGCAGGCAGTTAAAGCACTCGAGAGGTGTGAGAAGGTGGTGCCACACTGGTGTGACCAGGGTGGTGGGTGATCAGCTCAGCGACCTCCTGGAGTCTTCCTCTCTGCCTGGATCACTGTCTGGGTGAGCCCACACAACGGCAGCAGGGACAGGTAGGAGGAGAGGTGTGCTTCTTTCCAGCTGTGGCTGGTACCTCCACAATGGCATGGAGAGGGTTATCAACATCCTAAGAGCTCTAACTCTTTTTCTCCCTTTAAAGACTTAATTATGAGAAGCTTTTACTTTTAAATTTTTATTTCCAGGCAGTCATTGTTTTGAAGTTGTACTTGGCCACAGATTAAAGGTCCTTGGCTGATGGTCCTGGGAATGGCAGCGAAGAAAGCATTTCGGCTCAATAGACCCTATAAATTTCCAGCGTATGTTTTTGTTTTATGGTCCAGGTGAAGGGAGCAGAAGTCATCAATTCTCCCTCCTGGCTGACCCTGAACTGCTCACGCTGCAGGCAGGCCAGGCAGCATCTGTCTGGGACACCTCTGATGGGGCTGAAGGTCAGTGAAGGTCCTGGGCCGTTTTGGTCTGACAGGTTTGCCTTTAAAAAAAACGTTTTACTGTTGGCAGAAAATGCAAGCTACTGAGGGCATGCCAGGAGGGGATATGTGGATCCTTCTGGTCTGACATCTGCAGTAACTCGCCTTAGAAATGCTGTGGTGTGGGTGTTGGTGTGCCCCCCCCCACCAGCACGGCTGCCTGCCCTCCCCCGCAGCTGTGCGATTCATGGGCTTTCACATCTCTGTCATTAGCCCCTTAATCCAGCACCTTGCTCCAGCCTCGCACCACGGCAAGGATTTATGGTTCTTACAGACCAATTTCATTATCCCGGGGGGAAAATCAGCATCTTGTTATGGATAAAATGACAATAAATGAAACGGCCATTAATTTACGATCTTGCCACACAGTGGCACTCAAACAGATTCCTATTAATGGCTTGTTATTATCACCTCCCATACAGGGCTAATAACAGTTCATGGGAAAAACCACACCTGAGCCCAGGAAAGGCGCTGGCTGCCAGGGTGTGTGGGACCCCTGGTCCCATCCCGTGCTGGCAGGGTGACCCCCAGCTCTTCTCCATGGATGGTGGGAACAGGGAGAGCCTGTCCTGCCAGCCTTGGAGGGAAAGCAGCAGCCAGCCCCTGCCTTGGGGCCTGGGGAACCACGGGCTTTCTGGAGGAAGAGACGTCTCCACAACAGATGCTGTCCTTCCCTCTGGGATTTTTAATTCAGAACCTTCTTTTGCAAAGGCAAAGCAAAAAGTGAGGCTGGGCTGGCCACATCCTCCCAGGGACAAAGGGACCAGGGGCAGAGGGATGTGCTGGTGGTGGAGAACCTTGCCCACCTCCCTGCTCTTTGCTTTTGCACTGCGGACAGTCCCAGGGGGTCATCAACTGCCAACGAATAGCTCAGATTTTCAATATATGTTAATCCCACTCATGCAAATTAATTTATGGACTATTGCAGGCTCAGGTGGGTTCCCTGCCTGGCTGAAGGACATGGTGGAGGGGTCTCTGTGATCCCCCTGGGAGCTCAGCCCTGCCTGTTGGCATCAGGCAGCAGGAGGGGAGCTGGACCCTGCTGCAGTGAGGGCAGCGCTGGGGAGCTGCTCTAGCAGAGATCGATTGGCTGGGGATGGAAGCTGCCATACAGAAAGGGGAGAAAAAGCTGCCAGCTGGGAGATCGTCCAGGGGAGGAGTGTAAAAAAGCTGATTTTTCTGTTTGCTTGCAGCCCAAAAAGCCCAGAAACATTGGCTTGACATTAAACAACTTTTCAGAAACTTCAGCAAAGCAGAAAGCACTGTAAAACGCAAAACAAAGGCTAACCTTTCTATGTGGTGGAAGTACTTAATTTGGTCCAAAAAGGAGAAACTAGTTTCCTCACTGGATTTGTACTTTTTAAGAATATTAAGTGGCATCAGATGGAAAAGCCGCAAAACTTCTGCTTAAAATACTGTCCTTTTAAAAGCCAAATAAATTGGCAAAACCAAACTAAATCTGTAAGAACTTTCAGTGTCATCAAATTTGTTTCTTTGCCACAAAATGTTTCATTTGAAGAACTTCTCCTGGCAGCTTTCTTGTGCCTGTGAGGATCCGTATATTCAGAGCTTGCTGGGGACATCACCATTCCAAGCCTGGACACGATGCTGCAAGAGCCTCCCTCCACACAGCATGAGCACCTTCTTGTGTGCTGCCCGTGCACCCTCCAAACTCTGCTGCAACTCCTGTCCGTGCTGCGGGAGAGGGAGAGGGGAGGCTGGGAGGGTGCATGGCCATGGACAGGAGACCATAGAATCATAGAAGGGTTTGGGTTGGAAGAGACCTTAAAGATTATCCAGTTCCAACCCCCCTGCCCGGGGCAGGGACACCTCACACTAGACCAGGTTGCTCCAAGCCCCATCCACCCTGCCCTTGAACACCTCCAGGAATGGGGCAGCCACAGCTTCTCTGGGCAACCTGTTCTCACCACCCTTGCAGTAAAGAATTTCTTCCTAATATCTAATCTAAATCTACCCTCTTTCAGTTTAAAACCATTACTCCTTGTCCCTGATAAAAAGTCCCTCCTCATCTTTCCTGTAGCCCCTTTAGGGACTGGAAGGGGCTCTAAGGTCTACCCAGAGCCTTCTCTTCTCCAGGCTAAACAACCCCAACTTTGTCAGCCTGTTCTGAGCAGAGGGGTTCCAGCTCTGTGATCCTATTCATGGCCCCCTCTGGACCTGCTCTAACAGGTCTGTGACCCCTGTGCTGGGGGAGAGCACTGGCCCGGGGGCGAGGGCATCTGGCACTGGGACCCTGTACCACCAACTTCTGAACAGCCAAATCCACTGCTTCTGCTCTGGGTAAATTATGTCTAATGTGCGTTTTGCTTAACACTTGTTTTTTGCATGACAAGTAAACATGCTAGGAATTCGTCTTCATAAACACATTTTTAGAGTAATATAACAGTATAAATAAATGCTCCAGTGTATCTCCCCGTGTCACTTTTATTTACATTCTAAGTGACCTGTTATTACTGACCCCTCTGCCATAAATGCCTAATTGAGAGGAAGCCACTGAGTAAGCAAGGCCGATGTGAAAGTGCATTATGCTAAATAATTCATAACGAGCACTGTGGTTGTTGCAGTGATATATGTAAATAGGGGATCCTTATTTTTTAACTTACAGTCTGTGTTGGTTTATGAATTTTAAAAGGAGAAAGTCTTCATTCTCTAGTGCAGAACTGAAGAGGGCTTCTTTTTCCCTGAAGTCCCATCTGCAGTAGCCAGCTTCACAGGACTGACTGTGAGACTGGAAAAAACTGCTCACGGACCTCTTTCTGTGTTAGCACATTTTAAATCTATTTATTCCTGTGTTTTACCTGGGTCTTGGTGATAGTTCCTGTGGGTGCCACCTGCAGACCCAGAGGATGGAAACTGGCACCTGGGGTTGGGAAGGCAGCATCTGCGTATCAGGGTATCAGCAGAGCATCCTTCCCTGGCATCTGGCTGCAGAGAGCTCAGCCCTTAAAAAAAATGAGTCCAAGTCTCTTTCTAGCTCGGTGAAGGTGCCTCTCGTGCAGGGAGGGAGTTGTAAGTGAACCAGTTTGCAGCCTGGCCAAAAGCCATGAGAGGTTCCCAGGCTCTTCCTCTGCAGCCCTGGGGTTGAAGCCCTTTGCACTGGCCAAGCAGAGCAGAGCACCCCGGTCCCTGGGGAGCCCGCCTGGGCTTGTACAGCGCCGAGATTCATGCACTTGTTACAACTCACATGAGAAAAGTAATTCCCCTTTATTCTACCTTTTAATTCAACATTATGTTTTCTCTTTCTTTGTTATAAGAGTGGCATGAGAAGAGCTCCCAGACTGTCTCTTCAAGACCATTTATTATTTATTCATTCTGGTTCTATCTTGTTTTTCTGTCTCTCCTTATTTGAGAATTTTTCCAGTCCTTGATATTATTCTTGTCCCTCTCTAGTTCTCATCTATTCCTACAATACCCTCTAGAGATAGGGTAATCACTCCAAGAAAATTGACTTACATTCAATGGCAAAAAGCTTCATTAAAACCCAGTTAAGGTTCCCAAAGGTACCTTCTGTTCCTCAGAAATATTCAGCAAAACTCATACTTCCAGCAACACGAACTGAGGAGTTTCAGTACCACCCAGACAAGGCTGCAAGAGTGAGTGGGCTCCTCTGCCCTCTTGCACCCTCTGTAATGCACACGGTGGTAATTTTGCTTCCCCACAGTTCAGGGTGCTGCCTACCAGCCTGGCAACTTTACTCTGGGGCACCCTCTGGGAGTCCTCTGAACCCCCCTCTGACTTTCAGACCATCTGAAGGGGCTTTTAGCATCTCTGCCTTCTGGCCAGGAAGGTTTTGCAGATTCGGGTACCACGCTGCTGGGATGCACCTTGCAGTCCTGGGTGTGGGGCTCACCTTGCCCTGCTCATGCTCATGTCATGGTGGGGCACAGAGGTCCCCACAGGACATGCTGCCATGAACCCTGACCACCTCCAGGAGCCAGGGCAGTTTCTTCAGACCTTTGCAGGGGTGTGAGTGGTGGTCAGGCCTCCCTCCCCTGTTTGTGGCTTTGCATTTGTGGTGTCCATGTGCACCCCATCCCTGTGGCCGATGCGGTTGCCCCTGAGGTGATGGGGTTGTCCCCGGGGTGCTGCGCTGCTCCTGCTCACCTAAATCAGGGTCATCAGCACGTTTGGTAAATCAGTGCTCACCCTCCCTGTCCTTTTCAGCTCATTAACATGTTTGTTAACAAAAAGGATGAGCTGCAGAGCTTTGACACCACTGCTACTAACACGTAGTGACAGAGAAATGGATGCTGCTGCCTTCTGCCACAGGCGCTCCTTGGCCTGTCCCCAGGAAGCCTTGAGGTGTCCCTTGAGAGACTCGCTGGCACCAGTTAACCAAGCTGGCAGCACCAGTGGGGTGCATTTTGTATGGGAAAGCAGTGGCATGGGGCAACTTGACCACAGCAGTGCAAGGTGTCAGTGGTACCAGCGGGATCAAGAGAGCACATCTCCGGTGCCCCACTTTGTGCTTTCACTGTTCAGACCTACCTTGTGTCCAGCAAACCCCCTGGGCTTGCAGGGCAGCTGCCTGGGGTGGCAGAGGGGATTTTTGGCATGAAGGTGGGGAGCCATGGGGGACTGTGCTGTGTGAGGCTGGTGGGGACGGAGCCAGGGCAGCTCCAGGCTGGGGTCAGGGAGCTCCTACGTGTCTACACATACACTGTCTCTCAGGGGACAACACGGAGCTGCTGCATGGGGAAAAGGAAGGAGGAACTGGGAAAGGGAATTTTCCTTCTCTTTTGGCTGTTGTTAACAACATGTGAAAGTTTTCCTGGGGTTCAAGGAACAGTCACCCATGTCTCTGTGCAGTGCTCCCTGTAAGCATGGCAAAGAAATTGTGATGACAATCAGGGCATGTAACGTTTAGACACAAAAATAGTCTTAAAAATGTCATTGACAGTGATATCCAAGCATCCAGCCTGGCCTCTCCAGTTTCTGCTTGGCTTTTTGAAGGCCAACAGGGGGTGGACAGCCCGCGGAGCAGAGGTGCAGCACTGCAGGAGTTGGGGGCTGACCCACAGAGGGGCTGCAGGGCTCAGGAGAGGCAACTGATGGGCTGCAAGGGTGTCTGCTGGGCTCAGCTTATAAAAGGGGTGCATGCACTCCCCAGCTGGTGCTGGGCTGCTGATGGGCTGCTCCCGGTTTGATCCAGTGGCCAGCGGTGCTGGGGACTCGATTGCCAGGAAAGGGCTCCCACCTGACTGTTCCCAGCATGGGGTGAAGGGGTCCCACTCACAGGGGGATCAGTGGGAGCAGTGTCCTGCAAGAGCCTCTGGCTGCTCCTGGTGTCACAGGGGTGTGCAGTTCACTTGCCTTGCTCCAGGACACAGCCAGAGGTGACAGCACTTTAAATGGTGCGGGCACTGCAAGCGATGCTTCCCAAACCCTGACCTGAGGATACTTCAGGAAGAATAAATTGTGCTTTTTGTAGTATTGCCAAAGAAGGGCGAGGCTGGAAAACTTGCCTTAAAATAACACAGAAAGTCAGTCTCTTTCCTCCTGCAGCAGAGGAGTAATTACCACTTTGTAAAGCTTTTAATTTTTTTAACATTGCATATAAATACTGCTGCTCAAGAGTTCAGAGGCAGGGATTTTAAATCTAATCCACATTTAACAAGGCTATTAAAGAAAATGTTTAAGCTGCCAGAATTTAACTGATTACAATATTTAATAAATCTTACTTGAAAAAAGATGTCTTTAAAAAAAGAAAAAAAAAGCAGCAAGGAGCCAAGATCACATGGCTTTTATATATGCACTACTGAGAATGCTTTAATGGGAAATGGAAACCCAAAAGATGCAATAATCCTGCCAAAAAGGCCCAAATGTATTATAAAAATGTTTAAAGCTCCATTTGAGTTTTTCTAATTAACTTGATAATGACACCAGCATCCTCTCTCTATCAGTCTCCTGGAAGATCAGATGCTTCTCGATTGTTAGAGCAATCTTAAGAGTGGCAGGAAAAGAAAGGGGTTTTTCCCTTTCCCTGGGAGGCCAGGGCATTGCTTTTGAAGCTCTCCTGCAGCTCTGGGGCTGTGCTTGGATCAGGATTGGAAAAGTCAATGTCGGGAGGAGCTGGCCCCCCAAGTGCGGGAGGTGCCCCCTGCCCACCCCAGATGGGTCTCTCTGCTAGCAGCCAGAAAAAGGCAATGGGCAAAAGCTGCTTCTTCCCAGGAGCTCTGGGCAGGAGGCAGCAGTGCCCAGTGCTGTTCCCCATCCCCCTGGGAGGCTGCCGTGTGCCAGGACCTCTGCTCACGAGGGTGTGCGATCTGCACCAACGAGCCTGCTGACACCCTCAGCAGGATGGGGCGAGGAGCAGCTGGGGCAGGGGGGGGCACTTGGAGGGGCTCTTCTCTCAGTGGAGAGCATCCTCATGTGAAACAGCGTTGTTACCCAGCCAAAGGTGTCCTTAGAGCTTTCTGACAGCTCTCCTGAGCCTGGTCTCCAGGTGCTCAGGGGTCCCTGCACAGAGCTCCACCTCCTGCACTCTGCAACGCACCCAGTTAGAGATTTTTGTTAGTTTTAAAAGACGTAAGTCTCTTTTAAATCCTCTGGAAGAAGGTGGGCGGATTAGGGCAGCTGCTTGGGCTCGTGGCAGATGCTCAGCCTGTGTTTGGATGGGTGTCTGCCTGCAGTGCCTGTTTCTGCAGGCACAAGAGGAAGAAGAGCCACGTATGGAGCCAGAGGGATGCTGGTGTGAACTGGGAACGAGAGCAGCTGAGCTTTGGGATCAGCCTTTACTGGAGCCACCTGGGACCAATTGCATGGTGAGTGCAATGTCTGCAGTATCACCTGTGGCTCATGATACAAGTCCCAGGGGATTGCTAAAAGGAGCAGGAGTCCATCAAGCAGCCCCACATATGTTGGAGCTTCTTGTCTGTTTTCTGCAGGTCCTGCCCTGTTCTTGCAGGCAGCACAGCATTCTTCTGGGGCAGAGCATCAGTGCCTGGATGAGTTGGTGAGTACAATCCCAGCATGGGAATGGGGGCAAGGGGAACTGGGTATCTGCAGTGTGGTGTCAACCCCATCGTGTTTTCAAACAAAGGCATATAAACAGGCTCTGGTTTTATGTGCTGGAGAGGACCCTTGTTGGAGCCCTTGCGTAGCAAGCAAGCTTCTGGCCTTGCTGTTGAGGCTGTTCTGAAAAAGGGGAAAGGCATCCCGGTGAATTAGGAGAGATCCACGTTTTGAGGCTGCGTTTCTTGTTGGCTGAGTCAGAGAAATGCCCCTGAGCTGCGGTGTGTATTCTGTAGGAGATATTAACTGTAGAAAATCTAAGGTCAAGGTAGAGTCATATAATTTCATGGTTGAAGACTCTGGACTGCAGCAGAAGCCTTACTGATAAGGTGTTTGGTGTTGTAGAGGAAATATCACAGAAGGAGTGCTGAATGCATTTGGGGCAGAAGCTCAGCCCCAAACACCAGGACACATGTCTTGAGCTCTGGGAGTAGTGGGGTTGGACCTGCCGCTGCTCCAAGGGTCCTATCTGGAGAGATGCTCTTGGGGCTTGCAGTTCTCCATATCCTTGCTGATATGCGGGATGCCTGCCTTCTCTGATGTCAGCATCTAGGGAATTCTGCTCTTTCTGCCAGCGTGGGCAGAAAAGGATGGTGCTGAAGCAGGATCAAATCTCCCAATATCTACCAGAAAGAACCTGAGATCCTGAGCTGACTTTCAAGGCTACTGCTGCCATTTGCTTCTCTTTGCTAATCTGGTCCAGGCTTTGCTTTTTCAATAGCAGGCATCTTCTTGAACCTTCCAACTGTGTTTTGTGGCTCTCGTTCCCTTTCTGCAACTTCCACACCTTGTAGCAGCATGGGAGGGGAGCAGATGTGATATTCCTGCTGTGTCTCCCAAAAGCTGCATGAAGAAGTCCTCCTCCCCGCTCCTCATTGGCGCCGCTGTTTGTGCATCAGCCCATTTGGCCACCACCTCATGCTGGGCCCTTATGGTGCTTTGTTTGTCAGCACATCTCGAGTGCTTTGCAAGGTCAGTGCTGTGCAGGAGGCACCTCCTCCTGCAGGAGCTGGCCCTGTGCCGAGGTCCCATGTGGTGGGGCTGCCTGGTGTGTCCATGTTGGTGACAAGACTGAGCAGCCTCTGACACATCCTTGCCTCCAAGAGGCAACTCCTTGGTGGGGATTCCTCATTGACAGTCATTTCAGCTGCTGCTTAATTCATTTAGCACGGGGGCTGTTGTGGAGCACGGTATTTCACTCAATGGCATGTGATATGGTGCCAAACATCTCGCAGAAGCCCTTTACATCAGTGTAATTGCCTTAATCAGCCCAACTTGTAATCTCCTCGAAGGAGGAGGTGGGGATTGTCTGACAATTTTCCATTGCTCCATGCCAGCTGGACTTATCCCCACCTGTTAAATCTGTATCGGTCCCCCCATGAGCTGCCCTGTATTTTTTCCTTGAGGTTGCAATCACTCCCCAGTGCCATCTCTGATTCCCCTGGGGGTGGTTCTTCTCTTCAGCTTTTCTAAATAACACGCTCCCCATTTGTCCCCTTGTAGTTTTCCAGAGCACTGCAATTCCCCCCAGCCTGAATAGAAATAAGCGATGGGCCGGACGCTTTTTCCTTCTGCCTCTTCCCGGGCTTTATTGATGTGAATTTTTCAGGTGTGGGACACTGTGAGAATTGTTATAGTCACTGTCATTGTGATGTCCTCAGCTAGTCACTGATTGAGAATATTTACCTGTGTGTGACAAATGGGAACGGGGGTTCTGAGTGCAGAACAAAAATACCTGCTAAATATATGTGGAAAGGTACATACAAATCAGCATTCTTGCTAAACCCCTAGAAATAGGATCTGGCGTTGGAATGTTTTTTGTCACCAAAAGACTGTAATCTCTTCTTTCTTAATTCTGTTAGAGTATGCTCTGCTGTCCTGGAACTTTTGGCTGCTTCCAAGGACTGCTGACTTTGCCTGGACAGCTAGTGCCTTCCTCCTGTCTGTGTGGGCACCGGTATTTTTGGTTGCTTCCTTTGCTTCCCTGGGAGACACTAGAAGCCTCTTAACCGAAGTTGTCATTTTCTGCCTCTCTGGTCACCCGCCAGCAGCTCGAGTGCAGCTGCTGAGGTGAAGGGATGGATGCAGGACCCTGGGACCAGCCGTCCCCACTGGTGGCAGCAGTGCATGGCTGGTGTGTTTCAGGTATTTCCATAGCGTGCCTACAGAATGTGATGGACGTGCCTGTAATAGATGCAGGGCATGTCCGGCGCGTGGTCACAGCACTCCTTTCACAAGTCTTTAGTGACAAGTGTTCAGACACGTTCTCGCACTGTACAAATTGTCTAAGGCTTGAAGCTGTCAGACACAAATTCATTAGCCAGGTATATTTTGAAGATATAATCTCCAGGACCCAGCAGTGTCACCCACAGTCTCTCTGACGGTGGTGACAACGACTCCTTGGGACTCTGCCGGGTGCTGTGCCATCGCCCTGAACCCTCTCCCCTGCCTCGGGGCTCCTGTGCAGCATCACCCCTCCCTCCTCCACAGGTGCTGTTGCCTCATGATAGGGTTTTATTTCTCCACTTTCTCCTCCAGCTCAGAAAAATTTGATTTGTTCTGCCACATCTCCCAGTGGTGTTAATCTGCATTATTAAAACGGAGATTTACTACTACCTAAAGTTTTAATTCAGAAGCTTTTTTCTAGGGCTGTAGATCTGTTTCCTTGCTGTGTTTCAGCACTTCAATCCTACAGCATGGTGGCTGTAGGGCTGTTGTGAGAAGAATTTTGCAGTGCCATGCCCCTGCGCCTGGGCCTTGGGGCAGGTCTGGTCCTAATCAGCTTCTCCTTGCTCAGCACTTGGTTCTTCAGAGAGCAGCTTTGTGTGTGAGGTGCAGGCTCCTTTGGCTCCCTGTTGGGAAGGGTCTGTTGGTCGGGCAGTGTCCAAGTGCTGGGTCTTTCAAAGGTGACTCCAGAGGCACCTTTGCAGCATCTCTGCAGCCATTTAACATGTGCCCCCAAAGAGGACCCAGGAAAACATATCTGGGTCTGCGGCACGTGTTGCTGTAGGCTTTGGGGGAGATGCAGGGTTAGCGCTGAAAGCAGCGGAGAAAATGACTGCTATTTATGAGCATCTGCTGTCTCTGGTCTGGGCAATGTAAAGCAGCTCTGACAGCACGTGGCTGACTTGACAACCGTTGAGGTATTCGCCTAATGCAGCAATTCCACAGCTTCAGTGGAATTCATAAAATGTGCCTCGACAGATTCCCTGAATCATCGCAGCAGGATGCCTAACCCCCGTGGAGACCGGGAGCGCGGGCGTTCCCCTTACAATAATAATTGTATTTCTGAAGCGTGTCTCTCCTGCCACGCCACACGGGGCCCGGCGGAGAACGCTCTGACAGTAAAATCTGTCGAGAAGCGTGCAACACCCCTGGCACCCCGCACCCCCCGAGCCCCCAGGGAGCGGGGCATGAGGAAACTGGAGCTGCTGGGGGGACACCTTGCCCTGCGTTCCTGGAGCGGGGTGATGGGAGGAAGGCAGCAGCCGAGGAGAACGTGGCTCCTGTGTGCAGGGGTGTCCCTGCCCGGCACCCCCTCCCCTGACCCCCTGCCAGAGCTGATGGGGTCGGTGCCCCCAGGGAGCAAAGCTGGGCTGTGGTGGGACGGGTGAGGGCAACACCTCTGCAACAGGCTCTGCTGCCACATCCCATCAAGCAGAGAAAAGCCCTGTTAACCATTCGTCCTGGAGGAGAAATAAGCCTTTTTAGAGATCTATAAAACGCTGTCATCTTGTGAAGAGTGGATGGTGAAGCTGCTGCATGCTGTCTCTCCCTGTGCTGGTACCCATGCCCTGGAAGCAGCAAGTCACGGCACGAAAGGGCACTTTTTTTTTGCTTTTTTTTTTTGCTGGGGGTCAGCATGTGAGTTGGGAAATAAATGGAGTGTGCTTCTTTCTGGGGACACGTGAGACCCACTGCTGATGGCTCTCCTGTCACTGCTGCGGGTTAATCGTTCAGCAGCAGCACCTTGCTGCTCTGAGACAAAGGGTTGACTTGTACTGAAAAACAATAAAAGACCAATGGAGGACAACATCTTTGAGAACAGTAGGCAAAGGAAAAGGCTACCAATTCTATATTTAAAACAACAAACATTTTTTATTGGAGTTCTGGTATCTGTCTGTGGAAAATGGCTGTGGAAGCTGTGTTTCCTTGTTCTGAATTTTGCCTTGAACAACATGAAGCAAATATTGTAGGAAGTTTAGAAACAAAGCACCTTCTCTAAAAGAACAGAATTATTTAAGCCACAGTGTCCCCTCCAGTGCTGTTGCCAGTGCAGGGGTGGCCAGTGGAGCTCTGCTCCCTGCCCAGGGCACTGGTGGCTGGATGTGGGTCCTTCTCCCTCTGCTGCCACACATCTGAATCCAGGGGAGCTGGGGTCTCCAGCTCTGTGTCCAGATGAGCTCCATGGGGCTGGCTTCTCCTCTGGGCTGAGCACCCCCAGGGGTTTCCCCAGGCCCTGTGGCTGTTGGGGGTGTGGGGTGATGTGGTCTGCAGGCTCTCCAGCCCCCCTGGACCTGGCAGTGGAACATTGCCTCCTAGACCTTCTCCGTGGCATTCCCTGCCTCAGCATTACCTCCTGGGGGGTTTCAAACCGCACTTGCATGTGTTAAAGAGGCTTCATGTATCATATGGGAATAGATATTTTGAAAAACAAGATATTGATGCAAGTGTTGAGCCACTTTATTGGCTCGTTCACTTATTAGCGGACGTGGCTCCCTTCCTGCTGGTTGTGCTCAGAATGGATTTTTATTGCTTAATTCTCTGTAAGTGAAGTGCTAGCAAATTGTAAAATCCTATTGCTTAACATGTAGCATTAAGTATTGAACTAGCAAAAGAATCAATTACAGGTTTGGTCACTGATTAGCTTGACTTTTTATGGAATTTAACGTCAAGTCTCATTATAATTCTGCACTTTAA